CAGATCGATGTGAAATATGTACTAACTACGAGCGCAGGCAAAGCTGGATGTATTGGCTTACTCCCTTCAAGTACCTGCTTGAAGGATTCCTTGCGCTACTCGTCCAAGGTCAAACCATCCGATGCGAGACTAAAGAGATGGCGATCTTTCCACCCCCACCTGGCCAAGACTGTCAGACGTACGCCGGCCAATTCGCGCAGCAAGCAGGGGGTTACGTCGAAGCCCAGCCGGACGGGAACTGTGGGTTCTGTCAGTACGCAACTGGAGAAGCCTTCCTGGCATCCTTCAACGTTTTCCCGCAGTACATATGGCGTGACTTCGGCATTATGTGGGCGTATATTTTCTTCAACTTTTCCGTCGTCTTCATCTGCACTTGGCTGTACTTGGGCGGCCTACGCCAGATCAAGTCTTTCTTCAGCCCGGCCGCGCGCAAACAAAAGAAAGAGGCAAAGCAAAAGCAGAGCGGAGACGCAGCTTGATACAGAGATTTCAAAGATAGCAGACATTCGGCACAGTGTACAGCGACATGCTTCGACGTCGACTGCGAAGACGCGGGTTCCGGAAAACTCCTAGCCTGCCCGCGGCCGGAACGCGCAAGGCTGGGAGACGCAGCTTTGGGACGGCCCATCCCAGCGCACTGTGGGGCTCATTTCCGCCTCGTGCATTCCCCGCGAAATGCCTCTTGGGGATCTAGAGCATGTGCTAGAGTTTCTCTGTACGTACAGGCTTGGTTCTAGCGTCCACCATAGTCACCCGTATAGCCAGCGGTGTAGCATTAATAGTAATTTTGACAGCGCAGCTGTCATGTGTACAGAGTGCAGTAGCTTCCACTGTACATTTGACGTGTGAAGTATCATGGATGTGCTGGTCTCTGTCGAGCCATGCGCGATTAACAAGACCGCTCACACGAGATGCTCGGCACTTTGACACATGCAAACCCAATCTTGCAGGTGTCGGGTTAACAAGGCATCGTGAGAAGCATCGAAATGCCTCAGCTTTTCCGATGGGCAGCGCCGCCCGTCCGAGGCCCTTGATTTGTGCATCGTGAAATCGAGCGACTAAGCCGAACGGCGTTCCATCATAGTGCAGGGGTCTGTGTGGATCGCAAACTGCACACGAGCTGGAACCGGAACTGTGGTATCTTTGCACCGCCTCGTGTGGCCGAGCTATGCTGTCGACTATTGATTATCGCGATGCGCAATATTGACGCGCATGTACTGATTGTGGTATGAGGCATTTCGTACTGTTCGTTCATGGCTGCTCTAGTCACCCTCCTCAATCATACCGAGGTCTACAATCAATAGCACAGCTTCTCCGGCGAAAAATAGGCCAAGAGTGGTTATAGCCGAAATGTTCGTAATGTGGCCCAATGAAACAATGACGAAAGGTCGTTGAGCCTTTACCGCTTGCAGCGAGCGTGAATGTGGGGTAAGTGCGATCAGCCCCTCCAGCCAATACCGACGTGCGCATTGCCGTTCACGCAGCTGTAGCAATCGTCACGAGGGCTCCGGTACTGCGAAAAGTCGTCGACCATGACACAACCGTGACCGCAGACCTCATCTTAGTCCTAGCTAGAGAAGAATAGAATTTGCCATTCCATGCGCGTCGTCGGCCTAAGCTTTGCCAGCCATAAAGCTGGGTGTCGTGGTTACACTTGCCGGGCGCTCCTTCCGAAGTCACCCAGCCCTCGTGCCCAGCTCCGCGTTATTTTCGTCCCTCGTGAGCCGACCGGCACTCCCACTACCCAAACACGCGCCATTACCCAATCAGCGACAGTAGCGCTAGCTTGTCCCCGGCCCAGCAGTGCCAGCCTGAGCGCAGACGACGTCGTCAGAATGGCTTCGAGTGGTATTAAAGCTGCCTCGGACCCCGTTGTTAGAACTGCATCCCCAGCTCCTTTGGCCCAAGACTTTGCCCGTCAACAGGTGTCAAAACAACAGCGTTCTAATTTCCATTCCTCTTCCATCTCTCCACTCATATCCTACACCATGGTTTCCCAAAGCGTCAACAAGACCAATCTCCACCCTTCCGGCGTCGCGTGAGTGCCATCTTTCTCAGGCCTGGGGTCAATTGAGTTGGATAAAACTAACAACTATCTCAAGGCCGAACAAGGAACACACGGAGATTGAAGAGTCCCTCCACGACAAGGCACACATCGACTATGACCGTGTAGCCATTGTAAGCTTACCTGGGCGTACAAACCTCAACTCAAATACTAACAATGCTAGATCGCCAACCCTTCAGTCGCCGCTCTCTACGAAGATGCGCTTGTATACGAGACCGGCTCAGCCATCACAGCCTCAGGCGCTCTCTCAGCATACTCAGGAGCCAAGACCGGCCGCTCACCCTCGGACAAGCGCATCGTCGAGGAGGACTCGTCAAAAGACGACGTCTGGTGGGGTCCAGTAAACAAGCCGATGAAGGCCGACGTAAGTCTTCTCCGCATTTCCTACGCATTAAACTTTTGTCTACGTCAAACCGCGGTATTGGCTTGTGAAATTTTGGCGGCAGACGTCATGTACGCTAGGCGCATACCCGAAGGAGTTCGCATCCCTGCACGTGGCGCGGTTCTGGGGCTCGGCTGCCCCGCATCGCGCCTGCATGACGGATCAACTTCCATCGATCCATCTGGAATATCATCACGTGCGCATCTTGAGCTCTTGCTGACATCCCATCCAGGTCTGGCGTATCAACCGTGAGCGTGCCATTGACTACCTCAACACCAGGAACCGCATCTACGTCGTCGATGGCTTCGCCGGCTGGGACAAGCGCTACAGGATTCGCGTTCGTGTCGTCTGCGCTCGTGCCTACCATGCTCTCTTCATGCGCAACATGTTGATCCGCCCTTCGAGGGAAGAGCTGGAACACTTCGAGCCAGACTACACCATCTACAATGCCGGTGCTTTCCCTGCCAACAGGTACACCAGCGGTATGACCTCGTCAACATCCGTCGCCCTCAACTTCGCCGACAAGGAGATGGTTATCCTCGGTACCGAGTATGCTGGTGAGATGAAGAAGGGGTTAGTAATATCCATGTACGAACTGTATGTGAGACAAATACTGACTTCGTACACTCATCTTTAGCATCTTCACTGTTCTCTACTACGAGATGCCTGTCAAGCACAACGTCCTGACTCTTCACTCTTCCGCAAACGAGGGTATCAAGAACGGCGATGTCACTGTCTTCTTCGGTCTTTCCGGAACTGGCAAGACCACCTTGTCTGCCGACCCCAAGCGTGCCTTGATTGGCGACGACGAGCACTGCTGGAGCGACACTGGTGTCTTCAACATCGAAGGTGGCTGCTACGCCAAGTGCATCGGTCTCTCTGCCGAGAAGGAGCCAGATATCTACGGCGCCATCCGCTTCGGATCGATCCTCGAGAACGTTGTCTTCGACCCAGTAACCCGTGTTGTTGACTACGACGACGACACCCTGACCGAGAACACCCGCTGCGCCTACCCCATCGAGTACATTGAGAACACCAAGATCCCCTGCATCTCAGAAGGCCACCCCAAGAACATTGTCCTCCTCACCTGCGACGCTCGCGGTGTCCTTCCTCCCATCTCCAAGCTCAGCCCCGAGCAGACCATGTACCACTTCATCTCCGGTTACACCTCCAAGATGGCCGGTACTGAGCAGGGTATCACCGAGCCCCAGGCTACCTTCTCTTCTTGCTTCGCTCAACCCTTCCTCGCTCTCCACCCCATGCGCTACGCCAAGATGCTCGCGGAGAAGATCCAACAACACGGCGCCAATGCCTGGCTTCTCAACACCGGCTGGGTCGGTGCCGGTGCTACCACAGGCGGCAAGGTAAGACATTCCCCCAACAAGGGTCATTCATAACACATGCTAACATCCCCACAGCGCTGCCCCCTCAAGTACACCCGCGCCATCCTCGACGCCATCCACTCAGGCGAGCTCGCCAACGTCGAATACGAGACCTACGAAACCTTCGGCCTCTCCGTCCCCAAGACCTGCCCCAACGTTCCCGACGAGCTCCTCAACCCCGCCAAGTCTTGGAACGGCACCGCCGACTTCAAGGGCGAAGTCGAGAAGCTCGGCAAGCTCTTCATGGAGAACTTCAAGAAGTACGAAGACCAAGCCACCAAGGAGGTCATCGAGAGTGGTCCACACGTATGCTGCTGCCCCAAGCACTAGACGGTTGTTTTCGGTTCCGACATGTTTTTCTTACGACTTTGACAGACTGACTAGCGGATTTCCACTTCGATGTTATTTTCCTTTACGTTGCAATCGAGCGGTCGAGCGGGTACCCTCCATCGACGTCAGCGACTGTGCTTTCCTCTTTCTTTTTTGATTGGATGGTTGTGGGCATGATGTGTGCCTGAAGATGGGATTCGATATGATATCATGGTTTTCTCTTAATCGTTCGATGCGTCTTATGAGCGCTTTGTTGCGTGTACAAACACATTTTGGCGTTGGGTTTAGCTGAGCATTTCATGGCAGAAGATGAGAACGTAGCATAGCTGCTGTTGGAAGAGGAGAGAGAGAGAGAGAGAGACAAAATTCTCATCATGTTCATCGAAGCGGTGTTCATTATGGTATAGATGTGATTGAGACTGTACCACTCTCGGAGGATACTTGCACCACTCTCGGAAGGTATCTGTCGAGAGTGGTACATTCTTATAGCACATCTATACCATAATGCACAGAGCTTTTGATGAAAGAATGAATCTTTTCAATCAAACACATTTACCTATGCTCTCTGTCTCAAAGGCGTGAGGATATCAAACTATTGAGTTCATGCTCTTGCCACTACTGTTCCTTACTGCTATCTCAATACAAGCCATTCCAACCCCCCTTCCAACCATCCGCATCTATCTCTCATCTCACATTTCTCCAGATTGACCACCGAATGTCTCACAAAACCGCCTCATCCATATTCCTAATCCACCCCCACATCCACATCACCGTATCCAAATGCGCCTGCACCCCCACCCTCTCATCCACCGTATGAATATTGCCTAGACCAACTTGCTCCCTATCCCAACCTGGTCCATACCGAAATATATTCTCACTCAAGTCCCAATAATACCGCGTATCGGTATTTCCAGTCATGATACCAGGACTCACAAGCAGATCTTTTCCGTAGAGGGCACGGGTTGTGCCGGACAGGATCTGGTAGGGCGTTGCTGTTTTGTTTGAGTGCGAGGTTGATTCCAGGGATGTGGGTGTTACGGGCGCGGGCTCGAGCATGGTGGGGCCGTGGGAGAGGGTTATACTCGAGGGTGTCTCGGTGCCGTTGAAGGCGTGGAGGGTGAGGTTGTGTTTTTGCGCGACTTGGGCGGCGAGGGAGGCAATGTGCGTCTTCACGGCTGAGGAGCTGGAACCGACGTTTATACGGTGGTTTACTGTGATTTGGGTTCGCTCGGGCAGGGCGTTTGTTTTCACGCCGCCGTGGATTATGTCGACGGCTACGGAGGTTGTGAAGAGGTATTTTATTCCTGGACCTGCTTTTGCTGCTTCAAGGGCGAGGGCATCTTTCGAGGACTTCTTCGAACATGTTAGACTGCGTTTAGAGCGCTTGTCTAGGAGTTTGCCGAGGTGGTGTGGGAAGTCTGGGGCGTGGGAGGCGCCGCATTGGAGGAGGCCTAGGTATGGGTTCTCGTCTGCGAGGTGGGGCTCGTAGGCGTTTGCTTCGATTAAGGTGATGAGCTCGCTGGCTACGCCAATGCCGTTGTGTGCAGGAGGGATACTGCTGTGGCCGCCAGGCATGCGCACCACGATGTCCACGTCGATGTAGCCTTTCTCGGCTACTCCTGGGGTGGCGAAGTTTGCACCCCAGCTTTCGACGTTTACGGCGCCTTCGTCGATGATGGCGGCGATGGAGTTGTGGCCGAGCTTCTTCAATAGGTACTGTGAAAGATGGCCTGCGCCTTCGCGACCAGAGATCTCCTCGTCGAAACCAAACGATAGGATTAATGTTCGCTGAGGAGTAAACCCAGCAGAGATCAACGCCTCAACGCTGTTCAAGATAGCCAACAACTGGTTCTTGCAATCACTTGCACCCCTACCCCAAACAAACTTCCCATCGTAATGACCAGAAAACGGAGGATACGTCCACTGCTTAACCGTAGAGTCCGGAACAGGCACAACATCCTGATGCGCCATGAGCAGATTAGGCTTCAAGCTCGCATCCGTGCCAGCCCACGTATACAGCAAGCCATGCGTGTTGACCTTGTCCAACTGCAATGTCGCGTGCGTCAACGGGAAAGTCTTCTCAAGGTAGTCGGCAAAAGAGTACATGATGTCCCAGCGCGGGTCGGATCCAATTTCGCCCATGTCGTCGTAGCTTTGCGTGGGGATCTTGACGGCGCCTGATAGGCGCTCGATGGCGACGTCTCGGAAAGCATCGGAGGCCAGGTAACTCTCCATCTCATCCAACTCTTTCGTCTTCCTCGCTGGAAACAAGGGTTCGACCTGCGGACATTGCGCTTTCGAGTTGGCATCGCCTGAACGAGATGGGAGCTGCCATGACGATGATGTAGGAACGCTGACATGACGTAAGAAAGCCAAACCCGCTAAGCAAAACAAAGCGCTTCCAACGAATTGACGGTAGTAAGAGCGACTATACTGCTTCGACGGAACCGGAACAGGCGTCTGCTTTCCCCAATTCTTGCCCGCCATGGTGATGCTTGGTTGATGGTTAGAGTCTTGGTGTATCTTGGTTATCGGGTGTTGCGCGGGGATAAGTGGTGGTACGTTTGCGACTAGTCTCAATCAGGAAGGTATGTACATGGCTTTGTCAGTATTTATCGGATCGACGAGATAATCGTATCTACGTCGCTGTTTGTTTGTGGTGTGTTTCGGAAAATTATCCGGGTCGCGTTCACTTATCAGACGGCGGGGAGGTTGTTGTGCGTGGGTGGTATTTCGTTGCTAGAGCCCACTTCTGAAGACGTCATTTTTTAATCATGGTCTGGTTTGGTGTTTTTGGTTCACAGCTAATCACGAGCTAGTCGTTTGATCAGAGATATCCCATATCCAATTTCGTCGCCATAGACTGCTACAATGAACTCTCCGGCCACTTGTACTCTGGCCATGGGAAATCTGGATCGAACTTCTGCTGAAGTACAACACTTCCCGCCGGAAACGTCTTCTGTGAGCCATCAGGCATATCCACCGGCTGTGCCTCATCAATAAAGGTCCACGCTGCGAGCAGACCAGCAGCCCGCGCAACCTCGTCCTTGAGCTTCCCAAGCTTATCTGGCTGGGGAGAAAACTTCTCAAGCAGAGCTCTCTCCCTAGTCTCCTCAAATTCACCTGGTCCAGCCGTCACTTCCACGTCCTGATCACGCTGTTGCTCTCTCATATCCATTCCACCGCAATCCGATACCAAGGGCTGAAAGAAATCATTCTTCAGCGGTCGCTCCACTTCAGCATTATCCAAATCCTCGTCGATATCGATATTGGCAATCTCGTAGTTGATGTACGTCAGAGCCAGGCATTCCGTCTTCACAAGGAGCTTCACGACCACTTGTGTACTTTCTGCCTGTCCCTCTTCCACCATTTCGTCGTCGGCAAAGGCATCCACGTACCAGACTGCACTCCTCTTCACTGCATCTTCGTCAATGACGACGAAGGGGGATTCTCGGCCTGCTTCGTTTTCTTTGGCGCGCATGTATTGATGGGATTTGCCGATGTAATCATTGGGAGGTCTTATGATCTTGAGCTCAACCAGTGGCTGGAATCGAGAGCAGGCGCCGAGTTCAAATTCTGTCTTGACTTTTGCGAGCTCGTTGTCGTTCAATGGAGCCAGGAGATATGCTGTGAGGCATGTGACATCGAAGGGAGGCGAAATGAATACCATGATGATGGTGAGTTTGGTAGTAGCAGAAGGGGTTGAATGTGAGCATTACAAAGGATTGGTATTTTCCGACTGTTTATATGTGATGCATACCGCATAGTGGTCCTCGCGTTGCCAAAGACATTATTCTCGGCCATGCAGGAGACCAGCGATTGGCTACAGTTACGCTCGCGCAGGCAGCAATATTGTTGAGGGCCCTGCATTTAGCGGCTCGACTTAGCTTGAGATCGACCCTGCCGATCTGGAAACGTTAGGTTCTTCAGCAATACACTTCAAGGCTAACACGATCGTGCCGTACACCGGAGTAGAACTCCAACAACTGGCACGATGCAAGGTCAAGCTCCACTTCGAATCAAAGGTGCCTACTCTTCTTGATTTGGGGTGTTTGTAGGTAGATCACAATGCTTATCATTACTCCAGAACTTATGTCGCATTTAGCCTCGAGGGGATCTTCATTGTACCCGATGCTGACCTGTCGTGGAAGTGGATGCGTCGTCGCATACAGATGTCGTCTCAGATTGGAACGAGCATATGTGACATGGAGAGAGTACAGATGGCGAGAAGTACGAGATGCCCATCATCGCCTATCTCGCCTATCTCGCAAAGCCTGTCCGCATGTCAATACAATATCTAACTCCTGAACACTATCAGCGCACTCTCATCCGGCGAAGGACCTATATCCGGCCAAATCTGCGTCTGGCACCCAGCTGCCCTCCGAGCCATATCCCTCTCCAGAAAATTCGCCAACTCCAGACTATCCCAAAGAATCTCTCTCCTCCTCCGCGACCGCAGCATACTAATAATCCTCCGCCGCACTGCCACATCAGTACAGAAAACATGTAGCTGGAATAACGCCGTGGTGAGATCCGTTTTGAGTCCGTAGAGTGGTTGTTTCGACTTGCTCCACAAGCGATCGAGGTCGTCGAGTAGGAGACTGCATTCTACAGCGTCGAGTTGACCAGTGGGCTGGTTCTCGCAATCGACTGCGGGGCTCTCCTCGGCTAGTAGCAACTCCCAGAGTTTGTACTGAATTTTCAGATTGACAATTCTTTCTAGGTTTCTTGCGTATTCGGCTGTGCCTACTAGGTCCTTCACTATGGCCCGGAATTGTACGTCCCATACTCGCAATCGTTGTCGTAATATTGCCCATTGCTTTTCGCACTCGGAATTGTTATGGTCCCGATCCTGCTCCAAGTCCCATGAGATGTGCGTGACGACATCATCGAACGTGTTCATCACATCTTCCGCCTCGACGAGATCCCGAAGCTTTCCAGCAGGTTTGTTGTACTTCTTTTTCGGGGCCATGAATGGCGTGATGTTTGCGAATATACGGTTTGAGGAGAAGAGGCCGACTTGGCTGCCAATGGCGTGGAATATGGCTGCCAGTTCCTCGATATCATGGTTAGGTAGGTATGTGCTGGGTTTGTGGTTCGCAATGAGTTCTGTCCCAGACTTGATGTGCCGAATCGCTTCGCTGAAGTTGCCGCGTAGGCTCTCGAGAATGGCAAACAAGACGCAACATATCAAGATAGTGACTAGATCGGTTGGGGAATCGTTCGCGATGCCTCTTCCGTGTATCAGACCAGATATGGCTTCGTTGTAGTGGGACAGGGTAAACCCTTCAAGACTTGATCGCTTGTCCTGGTCGCATGTTATGAATTGCCAATGGACGGCACCAAGAGCCATGACTGCATGTCGTACACACGAGACGTTTTGGCTAGGGCCGTGGAAGGCTTTTTGCCAGAAGTTCTTGTTCAAAGATTCAGATATCTCCATGTCGTGAATCGTGTTGGTGAAGAAGTGAGTGTAGTAGTAGGTTTCCAGGGGATGGCCTGGTACCAACAGCGTTCTAGGAAGATCGAAGACCGAAGATCCCCTTGAAGAGCAAGCGGTTCGGATAGGCTTTGGTGCCAGCACTGGCGCGTTCGGGGTCTGCCATTTCTTTAGAGGCGCAGACGCGTAGCCATCGCAGACGAAGCCGGCTAAAGTGCATCTTTGACATGTGGGTTCAGTCTCGTCGCATTTCTTCCGTCTTTGCTTGCTGGGCGAATTAGGTAAACCAGGTGTTGCGGGGTGCGACAAACCACACTGTTGACCTACCAGGTGATGCAGCCTGTACGCGTCTTGTGGGAGAAGGCTCTAACCCTCCGTGCGCCTGATGGTGGCTTTGTGTTTTGCATCGCGTATATGCAGGGGAAAGTGTGCATACATCCTACTTTAATGGCCAGAGATTGGCAGGACCGGGCTCCAGTCTGAGTCAAACGCGTATGTTCTGCACTGTTGATACGGGAACCTTCGATGGGGGAGATCTGCCAGCCCGTACGCGGTGAGCCGGGAACTTTGGTCGCTGCGCGTTGGGCAGCTTCGCTCAGGATATGATTGGTCTCCTATACGCGCAGGCCCACCAACTGCTATAACGGGACTAACGCCTAGCTCGCCAAGCCCACCAAAGTCCGCATGAAGCCGAGCTACCTTTCTTTGGCCGTAGAGCCCTGAAAGTATCTAAACGGTGTACAATTTGGCTGAGTCCGAATTATGTGATCAGGTACATCCGCAGGGCGAAGCAAGAGCTTAGGCGTTAGGCTCCAGGGCGCAGAGCTGGCTGAGCTTCCGAAAGAGAACGCGAGGCACTCAGCCTTGCATAGGTGACCCTTGTCGTCTGGGCTTTTGCTCGTTCGATTTAACCTCCTCTCACGATACCACATTGGCCAAGAATACAACTATCGCCCTATCTTCAGCTCGAAACATGACCGATACCCAACGATTGAAACCCACGATGGCTGTCGCTCCAAGCCAGGAGAGTTCACCCTCAAAGTTAGATGCATTCCTATCAGTCCACCCCGAGATCCACATTGGTCGCGCCGCTCTTGAAAGCCTCCAATATGCCCACGATGGCAGCGACTCATTCTCCATCATCAACAAGCCGTTCGTAAACATGGTGCTGTATCAAGAGTTCAATGCGGATACGAGAGAGCGCATATACGTCGTCGCATTGATTGACGATAAGAAGGCTCTTGATCAATATGAACAAGATTGCGGTGGCACTTCGAACGAAGATGGATGCGATTGTGCAGAGAACCAAGGGCCCGAACACATGATTTACGAGCGTGTCGTCGAGTACAAGAGCGCGGATTGCGAGAACCACAAGGATGCGCAGGAGCCGGACCCTGATTGTTCTGAGTGCTGGCCAGTTTTGTGTGGGAGTAAATGCGCTCCTTGAAGTGCCTGGGTGACGAGCAGCAGTCACAAGTTGGAGATCCTGTACTGTTTGGTTTCGTAGAACTTGAGTTGTTTTAAGGAAGATTCATTGTAACCGTCGAAAGCGTTTTGTCTCTACCTCCTGTAGAATCAATCGAACGATGGCTGTTGGTAGATAACCGGGCATAAAGGTGTAATCCAGTAATCGATGCCACTTGATACTTCTCTGGAGGCTGTTTCAGGTTTATTTGTAGGCTAGTACAGCAAATATACATCCTGACGAGTTCACACTTCCAAGCAATGACGTGCATTGGGGTTTTGTCAATGCGTGCACTTGGGAAACTAAGTTACGAGATATCAGTTGACCTGCGATAATCGATATTCTCATAATGCAATGAGTAGACGTGATAGAACGATCAATGGTACAAACAGGAGGAATACTACAGCGGTAGGCGCATTGAGAGCGCTGGCGCCGCTCACTTGTATCACTGACACTGCTTTTAGCGTGAGCTTCGAGGCTTGCTAACGAGTGGCCTTTTAAGAACAACTATTACCTGGTATGTTGCTGCTAGCTGGGATGCCGTCAATAGTGGATTTCACAAAGTCGTATCCGAGATCCGTT